GCAGTTTTAGACAGGGGAAATAAAGAATAACTTGTATGTCGAAACCACAGGGGATGCGTAAGGAGGCAGGATGAAATGACCCAATGCTGGAATTTGGCCTGGACACCAGCATTAAGCCTCCAAATCCTTACCTAAAAGGTGCCATCAAATGAAAGGAGGGCGGGTGCCCCGTGGTGTTGTAACAATTAAGTCTATAATTTTTGCCTGCTTAGGAATTAACCATGAAGTAGGTCAAGTTATATTCAATAATGAATGTTATAAACGGTGCAAGGAAACCAGAGAGAGACTAAATTAGTCCAAACAAAACTGCCTACTGCTATGGTTCAAGGACTGCACTGACGTTGGACTTAAGAAAATGTGGAAATGAAGTCAAATAGGAAGTTAAATATGGCCTTATAGAAATGGTTTAATTGCTGTGCAAAATAACGAGGAGATGAACTAGGCCACCCACTCCCCCCCCACACCTTTTGGGGGGCCTTAAAAGGAGACTTTTAAAATCATCTCACCTCAGTTCACCTCGTGCCAGCTCAGATCATCTTCTCTGACCCCATGACAGAAGGAGGGGACCCGTCCGAAGGAGTTTCTTCCCAAGAGGAAGGCCACCAGGCCTGGCTCTTGTTTAGGGGCCTTTGTTTTTCATCTGTGAATCCTGAAAGTCATTATAACATCATGCCAACCACTCCTCAGCCCATCAGGGAGGGCACCCAACTATCAGCACCACAGGGGTACCAGTCAGAGGCAGGTTAGCTCCTGCTCCATTTCCCTTCCCTTTGTGTGTTACTTTCTGCCCAGCTATTTGTCCTCCTATTCCCTCTCTCATTCTCTCAGCTTTTCATCAGATCCTAAAATCAGCTGTACATAGGCCTCAGAACAGTGAGATGATCCTGCCCTGCCTTGTCTGAGGAGAAAGGACCTGACTAGATGACATCCCTGTCCAGAATGTGAGCCAGGGTCCAAGCAACAGGTTTCGTAGCCAGCCTGAAGCATCCATTCATAACTGACCAGCCTCCCATGGCTCCAAGATCATCAACAAAAGCCGAATTCCCCCCCACACCCACTTTTCTAGCTTCTCTCTCCTCCACTTTGTGTCCCTCCGTCCCTTGGAACAGGAGAATCGAACCTCCTTCAAACATCAGGACTGAGAGCAAAATTAACCCTTCCCTTTTCCTGAGAGGAAAACTGTTGGTGAAAATAAGAGACTGATATTTTGCACCCAAAAGGAGAAAGACTTTAATAGGTTTTAATTAAGTTTGTTTTGCATAATTGTGCAGTTTCCGCGTAAATCCTTGCTTTGATTTCTTGTGTTTGGTCAATAAACTTCCAACTGCAGGATGAAGGCTTTTGGGTGTTTGCCAAAAACCTGAGTAAACCAAGGTCTCTGGAGAACCCATCCTCCCCCAGCACCTTTGCACGACTGTTTCAACACTGGGCAGCGAAAGAGGTTATAACACCTTGCTGTGATTGTTTGGGCAAGTCACTTCACCTCTCTGGGTCTGGGTGCTCATGACCACCCAGAACCCAGCCATGAAGATAGCACTAGCAGCAGGAGGATCAGAGGGCTAACGGAGGCTCTTCATTCGCTCTTAGTGGCACACAGCGGAGAAGCTGTGATTTTGTTCTAGCACAGGGCAGTGGAGACAGCCAGATCCTTACAAAGCATGTTCTAGAGGAGGTGCAACAGATCTTGCCCTATTCGTAGGTCATTTTGCACTATTGGAGCAATGAAAATTAGCCGTTAAGCTGTAGGCCTTGGAGCAGGGTGGGGGGATCCTTCCCTGGTATAAAACTGTAGGGGACAGTACAAAATGACCCAAATTAGATCAGCTCTTAGGTTTGGCTGCTGGCCACCCCAGGATCAGCTGAGGATTGGGCCCAGCCTTTACTTCAATAGGGGAGAAAGGGCAGATTCCCTGCAGGACAGCGATGCTCTTCCGAGCTGCAGCTGCCTTTCTGCCCAGAAACTCCAGGCGAGTGGGGTTGTTTTGCTGGCTGTTGTTCGGGAAGGCTATATTTGTGGGGATGGGTCACAGGGTCACAGCAGCATGTGAGCTACATTCCCACCGGCTGTCTGCCTGGAGTGACTAAATGTGCTGCATTAAAATTAGCAGCTGACAATTAAGCCTGCCGCTGGGAACCTGCTCCAAGTGGTGAGTCATACATAATGATGGATGTACCTTACCTGCTGCTCTGCGTCTTGTCTCCCCACCCCAGAGTCCAAGCCCTGGCAACGCGGGGTGCTAATGGTGCAGGCAGGCAAGTGCTCCAGCTGCAGCGCCTTTGCCCCCCACCCCGGCAGATGGGAAAACCCATTCATTGGGGGAACCCATGGTACTTGCCCCCTTGATGAGCCTGCTAAAAGTGGGTTGTTGTTGCTATGGTTATTCGGTATTTTTGCGGTCAGGGTAAAGGGAGAGCTGCTGTAACAGTCCTGTTCCTCCACCGCAGGTCTCAAAGCTCTCCACGGTGAACGCAGACCCGCTCCAAGATGGAAGCATTTGCAACTATTCCACAGCTGTGTAGGGCTTCACCATTGTCACTGCGCTGCCTGAGGAGGCCTGTCAGAACATCCCAGCAATGGCATCTCTCCATCTATCTATGGTACTTACTTATAGTACCACTGGCACAGTTCAGGGCAGCTGCTCCTGTGTTCCTCCTTGGTCCAGCAAGGACTCCCCCTCGCAGGCTTTGGGCTGTCATGGCTGCCGAGACACGTGTGTCTCTCTCCCTTCTGAGCAGGGTATCTCCAGCCTGAACAGTTCCCTGCCTTCCCTGTGTTCTCAGCAAAAGACAGGCTACTGAAGCAGGCTTCTCTTGCTTTCTCTTCAGAGACTAACAGCCCACCAATTGCCAACAGTATCTAACAGCTATCACACAGTTCTTAATAAACAGCCATATTTTATTCTCAAGGTAAAAGCACTACAGAGAAAACATATTAAAAACAAGAGAAGAACCTACCCTCGTGCTACTAAGCTGGTCCGAGATCCTGCCTCTCCAACATGGGCGCTGGCAGGAGCGGTGCTTGCAAATCCCACCCAGGGATTTTCCTCTGGTTGCAAGTTCATCACACCCTCAGATGAGAGCCAGCACAGCCCGGAAACGTTTCATCCACCCTTTATACCCTTTGGTGGTCTTTGAACTGACCATGAAGAGGCAACAATAAGTCTCTGCTTCCAAAGGCTGGATTCGAGGGGGGAGGGGGTCATTTGCATTTCCTTCCCCGCAAGTATTTCCTAGGAAATACACTTTGCTCATATTGCCCCCTGCCACGAAGTCCTCTGAAGTCCCTAATATCTTCCAGAGATTTCATTAATCATGTCCTCTCTCCTAAAGCGGTTCCATGCAATCCCATGCTAGTCCATGAACATTTGCGTTTTCATGGGAACGGACTCCCCAAAGTCTTAACCTTCATTCCATAAGGTTTCACATGATTCCATAAGGTTCGGCCAGGATACTACTGTATCTGTCCCAACTACTTATTACCTGTAGTATCTGAGCACCTCACAATCTACGTGACACTCAACTTGGGGATGTTTCAGAGCTTCTAAAATAATGAACCACCCTGGCGGTTCGAACAGCTGGCGTCAAGCACTGAGCCCAGACCCAGGGTGGGATCAGACCTTTTGAATATGTCCATGTGGCAATAAAACATCCCCAGCACTGAGTCTCAGAGCCCAGGTCATCTGGCTCAGGCTAGCAGGGCTCAAGCTGGACCCCAGGTTCTGGGACCCTCCCGCCTCTTGGGGTCTCAGAGCTCAGGCTCCAGCCCAAGCTGGAACGTCTACATGGTAATTTTATAGCCTCACAGTCCGAGCTCCATGAGCCTGAGGCAGCTGATCCAGGCCAGCCATGGCCTCGCTGCAGGTCTTTCATTGCAGTGTAGATAGATGTACCCTTCGTTGTGCTTTGCTTCCTGCCAGCCCCCCTCTCCTTCTCCAGGCCTAGATGCCGATTCTCTCTGCTGTCGTTTATATCACTGCATCATTGGTGCAAACCAAATCAGCATTTTACAGCCACTTTTCCCCGGTGTGAATGACCACGCCCAGGAGAGGGCAGTGGGGAACTTGGCCCCAGGTCTTTTCCTTGGCAGGGTGTTTCATTGCCATAGTTTCAGCTGACAGCGACACCAAAAATCCACAAGCGCCCAGGAGGGCAGAATGGAGTATTATTGCACCTGCATGAACTCCCATCTGCTTCACTGGTTTTGCACTGTACTCCTCTGAGCCTTCACGACACAGGCCAGGAGCTGGGGCTCCCCACTTGCCATTTCCAAGGGAATCCCTGGCTGCTGATTCTCAGCAATCCTGTGCAGGCAAGGGGTCCAGCAACCACCCCACACCTTACAAAGGAAAAGGACTAGCCTCTGCCCCAAGCACCAGCCTCTCGGACACCTGGCAAGTCCCAGAAGCATCAAGCGGATGGGCAGCAACAGCTGCATGTTGCTGGATTTCTCAGCACACCAGGCAATCCTGCCCCATGCTGGCTGCGCTCATCAGAATCTAATTCGCCCTCCTGACCCCCTCGGAGGGCAGCTGGAGAACAGAAGGCGTCATGCTCCAGGGACCAGGGCAAAGCAGCTGTCTCGCCATTGGCCTGCAGGGTTGCTAAGCGGGCATCAATCTTGCATCACTTTGCTGGGGCCACGGTCGAGTGTGTGTGGGGGATAAGTTTACAATGTCACCCCCAGTCCCTCCTCCATGGGTGTCTGCTTTCAGCGAGTGCTCTGTGTCAAGCGCCCAGTGGCTGTCACCAGTGCTGCTCGACTAATGCTTCACCGCAGCAGGGATCCAGCAAGCATCTCGTGCTGGGCTCCTCTGGGAATACCAGGGCCAGGGCCTTTTCTCTCTTGCATCCCGGCAGGGCGGTTTTATCAGAGCAGACAGAAATCCCCGCCTGTCAGCATTCGCACTGAGGATCAGCCGTAATTCTGGAGCAAGAAGCAGGGAAGAGAGCATGGCCCAATAAACGATTGGTTCCGTTTGTGCATCCAAGACGTGTCCGGGATGGCAGAGGTGGGGCGGAGAAAGACACCTGCCATTGCTGCTCATAAGACCGGTATGCTTGCTGTGAAGCCCCAGCTCACTTTGGCATGAGGCAAGAGTGTAAGCAACTGGAGGCAGGTCTGTCTTTTTATGAGGTGTCTGTACAGTGCCTAGCACCATGGGGCCTCAATCTTTAGGTGCTACTGTAAATAAATTAATAAATAACCTCCGAGAGACTGTCATTTCCTGTACATTTGTACGGCCCTTAGCAAAATGGGAAGCTGATCTAACTGACCCAGAGGTGCTACTCTGCCTCAGTTTCCCCATCTGTAAAACAGGGATAATGATTTTGACTTCCCTTGCTAAGCATTTTGAGATCTGCTGATGAACAGGGCTGTATAAAAGTGAGGGATTATTAGTGTTATGACTGCAATATACATAATAAAAATAGTGACCGATAGCAATCACTCTCTTGACTCTGGGCGGGCAGCCCAGCAAAGGAACTTTATGAAACCTACCTGAAAATTGCTCCTTTAGAGAATCAGATTTTGAGAGGGTTTTTTTGTTTCTGTTTTAAGGATCTGGAAATGTCTGGATATGTTTATTTCTGAGATGGGCCCAAAATAAAACTCTGCCCATCCCAACCCCACCACAGTGCAACTGGCCTGGGGCAAATCCCTGAACTGCTTGGTGCTTCGGTTTCCCCATTTGTGAGGAGGGATTGTAAAATTGACCTACCTCACAGCAGGGACAGAGGGGATGTGGTGAAGCTGAAATGTCTGTTCAGAGCTGCTGTCAAGATGTCAAGTGTCCCATAAGTGCCAAATCGTTAGAAATCACGGCTGGAAACAGGAGCTGTTGGGAGGTAGCTGGTCTTGGCTCTGTGACATTTCTGTTCATTACAGTGCTCTGGATTCAGGCAGCACTTTCCTTAATGCTGTCACTTCCCTCCTCTCGAAGTCGGAGCTGCAGGCGTTTCGATGAATGGCTTGTGAAAGATGCTTTCGTTCCATCGTTACTTCTGTAAGCCCGTGTGTATCCGCTGCTGGAATTCTATCTGCTACCTTCTCACAATGGTACCCCAACACTGCATCCTTGGACAGCAGAGAAACTCATTTTCTTAGGGCATGGCTGCCTCTCCTGTCAATGTACCTGAGCTGGCTTTAATTTAGCTGGCAGCAGTGAGTTTCAGCACATATATCATTGGGCATGCCTGCCCTGTAGCACCCCCTTCTGGCAAAGCATGGTGCCGCAGGCCCTGCCCTCAGTTTACCCTCTTCAGGGGCTCCTTAAATCACCTCCACCTGTCCAGAGTTGTTAAAACATTCCCCTTCTGGGTCTAATTTACAATTCACAACAACACACAGTCCTGTAGGGCTTCCCCCTCTTCACCCAGAAGAGAACCCTCCTCTTCCCTGGGCCATTCCCCAGCTGGAGTCTTTCCACCCCCCCTGCTGTCTCCACTCCACCCCACCCTCCCTCTTTTCCCAGGAGAGGCTCCAAGCCTTTCAGCTCCACCCTGGCTCTTGCCTGCTTTTTGTTCCCTGCAACCAGGGGCTCTCCAGCAGCCTTCCACTCTCTGAACCCTGCAGGCATCGTCTAAGTCTCTATAGCTTTGCTTCCCCGGCTTCTTTCTTTCTTTCTAATGGCAAAGAAGACTTGGCTGAATAATCTATATCCACCACTAACTATAATTGCTAACTACTTAGTGGTTTATATTCTCTTTCTGCCCTGGGTCTTCCAGCAGGCAATGGTACACCTTTCTAATACTACCCCATTTCCTCTTCCTGTTTCCCCCTTTATAAGGTCCAGGTGCCTTCCGTAAGACCAATTTGGGCAGCAGATAATGAGTCACACGGGCCCACTACCTCTTAGAGGCGCAAGTCGCCCTGAGCTAGCCCTGCAAGTAATTACCCGGGATTCCAGGTGGGCTTGTACGCGTCCATGCTAATACGGCACCACTGTTCCAGTGCTTGAGCCAGCTAGATCAAAGCGAGCTCAGGTACGTCTGTGTGAGCTGCAGTTACACCCTGTGATTGGAGGCTAGACATGCCCTTTGTGGCAGTACATCCCCTGCTCAAAGTGCACCAAATAGGAACTTCAGCTGTGAGCCCTGCACTTAAAATACAGACCCCCAAACCCTGATGCTGCAACAGCTTCAAATCGAAGGTGATTGCTCTAACAACATATGCAAATTAATAGATTCGTATGAATTATTTGTATTACTGTAGCACGTAGGAGTGCCCATCATGGACCAGGACCCCCATGGTGCAGGGCGCTGTACAGATACAGGAAAAGACAGTCCCTGTCTCAGAGAACTGTGTCGTCAGTCTCTCTTCTGATGTGACAGCGCCAGGGATTCTGTGCGGGCATCAATCAGCAGCTTCCTATATGGAAACTCCACTGGGCTGAAGCAACATAATAATGTTTCTCTGGTGCCTTTGAATCTGAGCATCTCAGAGAGCTTTGCAAATACGAAATAGTTTCATTGTCAAGTCCCCCTTGGAGGATAGAGAACGCTCACTGTGTCTGCATTAGAGGTGGGGAAACTGAGGCATGGAGCGATTGAGCAACTTGCCCAAGGTCGTCCTTGGCGTCAGTGGCCGAGTCTGGGGTAGTACACAGGAATCCCTAGCTTTTTTTTTCTAATCACCAGCTCGGACTTTTTCCAAGAGTTGTGCACAGAACCCAGGCATCCTAGCACTCAGTCCTGGGTTCAGATCAGTAGCTAACACTCCTTTCCAGAGCGAGGGACAGAACACAGCAGTCCTGGCTTCTTCTGCTCTAACCACTAAGCTACATTGCTGCTGGCAGCCTGGTTTTCTGACATATTATTAACTCATGTGCATTTTGTTGGTTTGTGCCAGGCCCCGGGCCGGGACAGTACCGTCTCCCTCCGACTGTCGGATTTGTCAACCACGACTGCACCAAGTTAACCAGCCCAGCTTATTCCTTTCACAGGAGGCTCAACAATGTCAGTAAGTCTTTGTGAACCACTCTCTCTGAAACAGCCTGGGGCCGAACAACGTTAGTCTCGTATTCTTCCCAGTGCCCCCCTCACACAAAATTCCCTCCACTCCGTATCCAGTGTCACTTCACCCACCTCCCGGCCCTTCCTCTGAGCATCTTCTCAGGCACTGAGTCCAAATGTGTGTATACCGCACCCGTGTGTGTATACCTCCCCTCCATATGGCCCACATGTGTTTGGGTCCTGTCTCTGTGTGTGTACCCCAGTGTGGGTGTGCACCTTCCAAGTGTGGGTTTGTGTCCTGTCACTATCTGTGTGTGTTTGTATCACCCATGTGTGGGTTTGTGTCCTGTCTATGTGTGTTTATCACCCATCTGTGTATGTGTGTTTTCTTTCTGTGTGTGTATCACCCGTGTGTGTGTGTGTTCTGTGTGTGTGTGCATCACCCATGTGTGGGTGGGTGTATCACTCACGTGTGTATGTATCACCCGTGCGTGGGTGTATGTTCTCTGTGTGTGTGTGGCCCATATATGGGTTTGTGTCCTGTGTATGTGTGTATTGCCCATGTGTGTGTGTGTATCACCTATGTGTGTGTGTTCTGTGTGTGTGTATCACCCGTGTGTGGGTGTGTGTGCTTTTTGTGTGTGTGTTGCCCATATGTAGGTTTGTGTCCTGTCTGTGTGTGTATCGCCCATGTGTGGGTTGGTGTTCTCTGTGTGTGTGTGTCTAGGAGAACTTCTTGCACACGGATCTTTTGTGCTTTGCCATTGTGTACAGTGTTGCTGTTACCACGAGCTTGCTGGGACAGGGTAACTTTGAAACTGCATTATCTCATCTGAGCAGGCTGAGAGCACAGACACCGTAGGACACCTGACCACTGTTTATTTCCAAAACAAGAATGCACAGGGTGAAGCAGGGAGCCAGAGGTGAGAGGCCAAAAGTGCATTATTCTCAAGCTCAATAGGATTTGTAATGAAAACCATTACACCTTTTCTCCCTGCGCCATACCCCTCCTGGCCAAACTGCATCCCCTCCCCACTTCCGCTTCAGAGGGGTCATTGAAATGCAGGCCCACGACCATCAGGGGCTGCTGCCACTCGTCTCTGAATGCAGCCGTCACGCTGTCCAGACCTTAGCCTCAAAGCAGCGAGCCCCACTGGCCCCTTCCAATGGCCTGTCATTTTGAAAACCTGTCGCGACTAAACATGACAGAAGCGTGCCTGATTAGTGGAGGTTACGCCTGTACGTGCCCAGGAGTGTTGTGGCCGCGAGTTGTAACAGGCACTCTTCAGCTGTCGATCTCAACGAACAGGGGAGTAACGTTATCCCCATTAAGAAAAGGAGGACTTGTGGCACCTTAGAGACTAACCAATTTATTTGAGCATAAGCTTTCGTGAGCTACAGCTCACTTCATCTAAGGTGCCATAAGTCCTCCTTTTCTTTTTGCGAATACAGACTAACACGGCTGCTACTCTGAAACCTGTTATCCCCATTGCACAGCTGAGGAAACGGATTTTCCTAAGATCAGCAGCAGAAGAACTAGGGCTAGAGACCTGCCCTCCCCTGCAGCCCTGTCAAGCTCTTGATGTTGCTTACAAATGATCAAAGGCCTAGATCTGATCTCATAGCTGTGGCTTTTACATATGATTCCATTGATGTGATCATTCCATTAGATGTGATTCCATTGACTGGAGTGGAGGGCTTGATTTACACCAGTGTACGTGAGTGGAAATCAAAGTCCTTTATTTACTCCAGATTCATTCCCCAGGATGGGCCGGAGTCTGATCTCAGGGCAGTGTAAATCCAGAGTGACTCCATGGAAATCAGCAGGATTATAACAGCGTAACAGATCAGAGTATGGCCCGGTGTGGATGCACAATCAAACTGAGATGTGACCGACAGGCCCGTGTCCAAATTCATCCCTGGTAAAATCCCACTGAAGTTATATCAGGCATGAATTTGGCCCACTCCATAGGAGAAAGCGCGGTCCTATCTTCCCAGCCGCCCCATTGCTCTATGCTTTTCCCTTTTGTTGTCAGTGTACTTTAAAGATTCAAGCCCAGGTCCCTGCTATTACGTGGACCCGCAGCTCACTCGCTTTGGCAGGAGCGGAGGCCCGTCCTATTCCATGCTGGCGAGATCAAAGACCGTGGGTGAGTGGAAGAGCATCAAAAGCCTCCATCGGGCTAGGAGTTGGTGTGCCTGGTTTGGTCGCGTCAGCAGCTCGTTTTGGGTTGCTTTTAAATTGAATGCAGTGCGTGTGGAAAGGGGCTGGTTTAGCAGCCCTTGGGCCTCTCTTTATCCTCAGGGCAAGCTACTCCTCCTCCATTGTTCCTCGCTCAAGCGTGGTGGGCCCCCCTAGGGTGAGAGTGGCCCATTCAGCCCTGGGCTGAGACTACTTCTAGGGGTGAGTCAGAGCCAACACAGGGGTCAGCTTTGGTGCGTCCTGCTTTAGCGTTTAACGCTGTGTCTCCTTCAGTGCAGCCACAGACCCCCGGGCCAGGCAGGTACAGTCCAGAGAAAGCCCCACCTGTCACCCAGCGCAGGCCGCCGTCTTTCTCCGTGGGATCTCGTACCAAGTACCGGCGGGCGGATCCCGTCCCTGCCCCGAACAGCTACACTCTCCCCTTGCTGCTGGGCTCCCGGGTCCCCAGCAAACCGTCCAGCCCTAGTGTCACCAGCTCAGGGTGGAACAAACACGGTGGGTTTTCTGAGGCCTTGTCCCAAACGCCTGGCCCAGGCCGTTACAACAGGATGGATCCCAACACCTACTTGCCCCGACCACCTGCCTCCTCCATTCGGGGACGATGCAGTGTGCCCAGGGCTGCCTTCCAGACACCAGGACCTGGAACACACAGCCCAGAAAATGTGACCGCCCACAGGACAAGAGCCCCGGCCTACTCCCTGGGTGTCCGGCACTCCGAATTTGTCACTCCTCTCATTGTGGATGTTTCCCAGTGACAGAGCAGTGGGGCAGCAATTCCTTGGCATCAGGCCAACTGGCCTTGATTTACCTTCCCTGCCTTGATCTACTGGATCTCCAGGGACTCAGACTGGAAGCTCTTCGCTTTGCCCCCAGCCCATTCATGCCAAGCAGTCCTGGGAGAGCTTCCAAGCAGCGGATGCACCAACACCTGAGACATTTAAAACCGGGCCAGTCCAAACCCTGCGGCACTGTAGGGAACGATCCTGCACTTCTCTGCAGTGGGAGGAGTTTTCCTAGGGTTGCCAACCCTCCAGGATTGGCCTGGAGTCTCCAGGAATTAAAGATTAATCTTTAATTAAATATTATGTCCTCATGTGATGAAATCTCCAGGAACACAACCAAATTTGGCAATCCTAAGTTTTCCACCTCTGGCCTCTGTGACGCTTTGATTCTCTAACAGCCTCCACAAACTGGGTGCTGATCTTCCCACTTGGAGACCCAAAGTTTCTTTAATAAATAGGTCAACAAAGAAGAATTTCAAAGACAGTGTTTGTATGCAGTGTGGACTTGACGCAGAGCTCTGTGTGGCTCGCAAGCTTGTCTCTCTCAACCACAGAAGTTGGTCCAATAAACGATATTACCTCCCCCACCTTGTCTCTCTAAAGATATTTTCAGGGCAGGCAGGGGATAGGGAGAGGGGGAAAGGGAAGAGGTGCTGCTTTCTAGCCCCCTCCCTGGCATTCCTCCGGGTTCGATTGTCACATTTACTTTCCCACCATTTATTACTGATGCTTCTTTTTGCTCTTTTCCTGCCTCAGGCAGTGAAACTAGGCTGGTGAGTTTCACTTGCTGTATCTAGTCAGTTCCCTTTCAGGTTCTAAGCAGTACCAGGCCTTTGCGTTTGGGTGTACAGCCCTGCAAGGGAGACCATAGCAATCCACCCCCTTGGCCCTGAGGAATGAAATTATTTCTGTTGTAATAGGTTTTAAACCCCACCTTTCCCCTGTGTATTTTGAACAATGTTTGGGCCTGAGCTATTCACTAGCATCATTTGTAACATACAAAAAAGTTTCCAAGGGTGACAGATGTTCTTCTGGTTCAGAATAAATTTACTAACCAACGAAAGACACTGTGTTGAAATGCTGCCTCCCCGCTGCATCACAGCTCTCCACCCCCACGTTTCTTGACCTTTCTGCACTAAACCACACCACCCTGCTAGCCCTCAAACAGAGCTGTCAAGTGTCGACACCCCTGGCGAAGGCACCTCCTTGTAACCTCCTTCCCTGTTCCTTCCTGCTCAGCGACTGACGCCTGCATGCAGCACAGACCCCTCACTGGTGTCAAGGGGTACAGAACATAAGAACGGCCCTAAGGGGTCAGACTAAGGGTCCATCGAGCCCAGTGTCCTGTCTTCCAACAGTGGCCAGTGCCAGGTGCCCCAGAGGGAATGAACAGAACAGGGAATCATCAAGTGACCCATCCCCTGTTGCTCATTCCCAGCTTCTGGCAAACAGAGGCTAGGGACATCATCTCTGCCCATCCTGGCTAATAGCCATTGATGGACCTGTCCTCCATCAATTATTGTAGCGCGTAGGAGCGCCCATCATGGACCAGGACCCCCACGGTGCTAGGCGCTGCACAGATACAGAAAAAAGCAGTCCCTGTCTCAGAGAATCTATCTAGTTCTTTTTTGAACCCTGTTATGGTCTTGGCCTTCACAACATCCTCTGGCAAGTAGTTCCACAGGTTGACTGTGCATTGCGTGAAGGAATACTTCCTTTTATTTGTTTTATAGCCTGAGTTATATGGATTTAAATCAGTAGAGGATCCACCTCGCTGGATGGGAAGGGGAGGAGGGGACGACAACATGACTAGCCATCTTGATAGCGTCCTAGAGAACTTGGTCACTGGCCCCAGACACCGGTTCTGTCCTGTGCTAGGAGGCGGGCCTGTATGAATTCGGAAGGCAGGTCTAATGTGGGTTATAACTTACCGACAGATCCCATGTGGCAAACTGTTCCAGTTCTTTCTGCGCAGCAATGAGGAGGGAATGGATGGACTCCCTCCATGTGTGCGAAAGATCTTCCACCTACCTTCAGAGACAGGCTGCGTATCTGTGGTGTGAAGCAGCACCCCAAGGGGAAAAGAGTCGCCTTTCTCCTCAAGGTCTGAGTGATCAGGCTGCCTTGCACTGGGTTATGCCATGACACGACTGATGCACCTCACCATTTTAACCCCCATGCAACACAGCAGAGACATCTTCTTACACCCTGTTGGTTGCTGCAGGGGATACACCCTCTATCCTCCCACCTATGTCTGCCTTTGCGCCGCGAGACCAAGGGTGAGTGTCTCCTGGGCACGAGTACCCAGAGCCTCTTCATGTCCCACTGCTCACAAATGGGGAAACCGAAGGCGGGAAAGCTTCCATTATTGTGAGCTGCTGGGGACAGAGCTCGAACCCTTCTTCTCTCTAGAATGGCCCATGTGCACCTATGGTGCCCCACGTCATTATTAAATAATAGGAGGCGGGGGCCCAGATCCCCAGCTGGGATCAATCGACATAGTTCCGAGGAGACTGCCAAGGTCTGGTGGACCTACTAACACATCAACGGAGCTGTGCCAACTGGTATCAGCTCAGGAGCTAGCCCTACGCGTGGAGTCTTCTTTATGGGAAAGTCCTAGAGAACTGATCTGGGAGGGATAATCTTCCTATAAAATGACCTGTGGGATGCAACAGCCGGGACCTCACCCTTTGTTTCATTCTCTTGATATTCCAAGTGACCGCTCTAGAATCTGGTTGGTCTCACCCCTATTAAATGCTGTAAAAGTGCTCGGTGCCCAAGTGCTGTACACTAAGGGGGTATTCAGGGTTACTTATTTGTACGTGCAAGGCTTAGCACATCAGGGCCGGGAGGTGTTACTGTCAGATTAATAACAATAATGATGCCACATTCTAGAGATGCCATTCTCTGCGTGAAGAGTCAAACCCAAAGCCTGGGTCTGATTCTCCCCTGCTTTGGACCATGTGTCACCTGTGTACAACCAGGTGTGGACTAGCCCCAGGTCTACCAACCTCAGTGAACCTAGCCCAGGTTTCAGATCTATGAACGTAAGAGGCAGGCAGGCTTTGCCTGAAAATGCCCTATCCCATAGCCAGTGTTGATGCTGCTGGGAAAGAGTTAAGTGGGCTATGCTGATTGGCCGAGGCAGACGGTTTGTTACCCCACCTGGAAAGAGGGGAGGTGGGAGTGGCGCTCTGGGGAGAAAGGATCTAGGGTGTGGGCTGAGCTGTGCAGAGGGAGGAGCAGCCTGGTCTGGGGAGAAGATCTGAGCTGAACTTTATGGTAGCTGTATCAATAAAGCCCAAACCGAGGAAGGGGAGAGGTTGTACTCCAAGAACAAGCTGGGAATGGCACTTCCGCACACTAATGACAGCTGAAACTGGGCTCCTGAGAAGCCAGCATCCTGAGGATGGGGATGGAGTGGGTGGCTCCTTCTTTTTCCTTCAGCTCCAAAACCTCTCCAGAGAGAGTGGCTGTAGCGAGACCTTCGGCCTTCCCCCATTGTATCCCCTACTTTTTCCCTAGGGTGGCTGAAGATGATGGGAGCCTGACACAGTCACGCTTTCCGTGGCCTGGATTTTACTACCAGCCCTGGCTAATTAATCATTTGCTGATTTCTTTCTAATAAGTTACATCTGCTGAGTTTCTGCTGGGCCTCTGTCTGGCGAGGGGGGCCCCCGGTTTCACCCTGGGTGACTTGAAATAAATAAATAAATAGATACCGCCTCACTCAGCCCTCTCGCTTGTTTATTTTCCCCTTGATCAATAAACATTAACCTCCCGCCTGCATCTGCTGGCCCACAGAGGGAAACAACAAGCAGGCAGCAGGCAGGGGAGCCACTCTCTGAGCGGAGAGCCCAGAGGAAGTGGTGAGAGCAGCGGACAAACTGCAGCTGAACTCAAGGCAGTGGGCTGACGGAGAACGTGCCAGCACGGGCTTTCAGCCGCCCTTCCTTCCAGAGCGCAGTGGGTAAGAGGGAGACCAGTTGCTGGCAACAGGTAAGTCCTCTATGAATTGTGTGTGTGTGTGTAGTTATCGGGGTTGGAGGCTCTCCACTTCAAGCTGCGGTCCTGTTCACAAGTGAAGCAGAGTCAGGTCCAGTCACTCCTCACACGGGAGGACTCTGCTACGAAGTGGGTTGTGTTGATTTCATAACGGAGAGCGGGGTTCTGCCATGTAGCTAGGCAGTGACCCCCAGCTTGTCCCAGTTCCAGTTCGGGGAGAATTGCACTGTGCCCATCTGACACCCCGCCCACCCACTGAGGCGTTTGGGACTCTCCACCCCCAGGTCTAAATGCTAAAAGGAAGGGAGGCAGAACAAACAACAAACCTGTATATAAATGCTCAGCCACTAGGACTAGCCACTTCTTCTATTCTTCTATTGTATTTTAACAACCAGATCCTACGGTGGTTGGTTCTCTAGAAAGACCAAAGATTAGCTAGACTGTTCTGGAGCAATGCGCGCTGTTGAGCGCTGGCTGTGTTCCACCCCAGAGCTGGGTGCATTTTGGTAGCGCGTGAAGTGGCTCAAAGAGCCTACAGAGATGCAAGAACATATTAATACACCAGAATGTGCGTCTCTCTGGCCCCTTATCCATTCACACAGCTACCCGAACTGACATGACACAACATCCATACACACACACACACACACACACACAGCCTCTCTGACACAATACTGGACATGCCCACCATACACTCCCAATGACACAGCCATGCACACACGCCCTCATCGCTACACAGGCCCCATACTCCTCCCCGACCCGCACAGAGACCAAAATGAGGGAAACGGTTGAGCCCCTTTGAGAACACAGGCGATGCCTGTGACCTTTCCCCATGAGCTGTCTGGCCCCCCTGACAGCACACCAGGCTCCCCCCTTCCTTTCTGCGGCTTTATCTGCACTGCAGAAAGAGGTGGGCGTTTACACTGAGGCAGCTCTTTCCATGCAGGTAGTTTTCACCTCACTGTAGC